AGGCCACGGGGGGAGCCGCCCGCGCTCCTGCGCCTGGGCCCTTGGGCCGCGCTGTGCCCAGGGCCGGCCCCACTGCGGAAAGGACGCGGGCACGTTGGAGAGTCCAGCGGGAAAAGATGGCTGGGGTGTGGGAACTGGGCTTGCTTAGTCTGCAGAAGATGAGAGGGGGGATCTAATAGCAGCCTTCAACTACCTGAAGAGGGGTTACAAAGAGGATGGAGCTGGACTGTTCTCAGTGGTGGCAGATGACAACAAGGAGCAAGGGTCTCAAGTTGCATCATGGAAAGCTTAAGTTAGCTATTGGGAAAAAGTCTCTCACTAGGAGGGTAGTAAAGCACTAGAACAGGTTCCCCAGAGAGGTGGTGGGATCTCCATCCCTGGAAGTTTTTAAGACGCAGCTAGACGAAGCCTTGGCTGAGATGATCTAGTTGGATGGTCCTGCTTTGACCAGGGGATTGCACTAGATGACCTCCTGAGGTCCCTTCCAACCCTAATTATTCTACGATTCTATAAATAACATGAAAGCAGCACAGGAGAGCTGGCCTGGGCTGTACTTCTTCCCAGTCTGCCTGCAGTTTCTCCAGAAATATAGGTGTGCATGTGAAAATGGTGACACGGTGCCTTGCATTTCTTGGATGCCCCAGGCTGCGGGCTTGCCCAGCACTGCAGGCTGTGCCACACTTCCCTCCAGGGAAGGGGAGCCCAGAGACCCCAGCTGCACCTGCAGCTTGAAGCAATGCAGGAAGTAGAAGCTGGGTGGTAGCTGGGGGAGGGGCGCACACATCAACCGCTTGTGGTTGGACAGCTTTGTTTATATATCAACCTTTTCAGTCAACCGTTTCAATTTAAGGCTAGGCACTGGGAAAAGAATAAAGAAAAAGCTGTATTTGTTAAACATTTTTTTCAAAATTAACTACTGCTTCTGGATAGAAATGTGTCTTTCAAATTGGTTTTGTACCTCTTTGCATGTGCCTGAACCAACAGGTTAATGATTTTGCTCCCAAAATAGGGGGTGATTTCATTTTTTTTCCTGCTAAGAAAGAGACCCATATTTCCACTTTCAGTTTCTTTCTGGGGACAAAGCTCCTTCTACATTTTTTAAGGGTATTTAGAGCTTGTTTAGTACTAAACACACAACAGTTGGTGTTTAAATAATGCTGTTCCTCTCTTCCTAGCACGGCTAAGAGAGAAGATATCAGGGTCAGTGTGTTAAAGCTGCTAAACCGACATAACGTTGTTTTTGGTGATTATACATGGACGGAGTTTGACGATGGTTTTCTCCTCAACAATGTTCAATCTGTCTCCGTTGTGGACACAGAACTAAAACTGAAAGACAGACAGGTATCTACATTTTGATAAACAGTAAGCTTTTTAACAGAAAACTATTATTAGAAAACTGTTATTTACTAAAAAACTGCAGGAAGACTAGCAAGCATAGCAGAAGACCAGCTTGGCTTAGCAGGGAATTCTTCAGTAAACTAAACCTCAAAAACGAAGCTTATAAGAAGTGGAGACTTGGGCAAACAACTAGGGAGGATAAGAGTATTGCTTGGGCATGCAGGGATGAAGTAAGAAAGGCTAAAGCACAATTGGAGTTGCAGCTAGCAAGGGATGTGAAGGGTAACAAGAAGAGTTTCTACAGGTATGTCAAAAACAAGAGGAAGATCAGAGAAAGTGTGGATCCCTTATTGAATGGGGGAGGCAACCTTGTGACAGGATGCAGAAAAGGCTGAAGTACTAAATGTTTTTTTCACCTTAGTCTTCATAGGCAAGGTAAGCTCCCAAACTACTGCACCAGGCAACACAGTTTGGGGTGGAGGTGAGCAGCCAGCAGTGGCGAAAGAAGAGTTTAGGGACTATTTAGAAAAGCTGGACATGTACAAGTCTATGGGGCCAGATTGGATGAATCTGAGGGTGCTGGGGGAGTTGGCTGATGTGATTGCAAAGCTGGTGGCCATCATCTTTGAAGACTCATAGCAATCAGGAGAGGTTCCGGATGATTGGAAAGGGCAAATGTAGTGCCCATATTTAAGAGAGGGGAAAAGGAGGATCCAAGGAACTACAGACCAGTCAGGTTCACCTCAGTCCCTGGAAAAACCATGGAGCAGATTCTCCAGGAATCCACTTCTAAGCACTTCGAGGAGAAAAAGGTGATTAGGAACAGTCAGCATGGATTCAGCAGGGCCAAGTAATGCGTGACCAACCTGATCACCTTCTATGATGAAATGACTGGCTCTGTGGATGGGGAGGAACTGGTGGATGTGGTGTACCTTGATTTTTAGCAAGGCTTTTGATGCGGTCTCCTACAATGTTCTTGCAGGCAAGCTAAGGAAGGATGGGCTGGATGAATGGAATGTAAGGTGGATAGAAAACTGGTGGGATCATCGGGCTTGGAGGATAATAACGGCTCAATGTTTAGTTGGCAGCTGGTATCAAGTGGAGTGCCGCAGGGGTCAGTCCTGGGTCTGGTTTTGTTCAATGTCTTCATCAACGACCTAAAATATGGCATAGAGTACAGGCAGTCCTTGACTTATGACTGTTTGAGTTATTGCAAACAGTACATACGACCTTTGTAAATTACGGCACTGTTTCAAGTTTCCAAAGGAATTTCGACTTTATGGCACTGGACACAGCTGCCTCCCATTGGTAAGTCTGTTGTGATGGGGCATGGGGGGCCAGATAAATGTCCCCATCCTGAGGGAGGAATTGGGGCTGGGAGAGGGACTGCCCAGCAGCTGGGGGGGCATAGGGAGGTGGTGGGGCGGCTGCCGCACGCTACTGGTCCAGGAGGGCATGCGGGGGAGGAGGAGTGGGGATTGGATGTACCCCCGGATCTGAGGGGCAGGCAGAACTGGGGCTGCACCAGGCTGCACTCCAGGCTGGTGGCAGAAGGTGTTGGGAGCAGGGACTACGCCCTCCTGCCACTTGCCCAGCCGGGTGGGGCAGAGCTGCTGCACTGCCTCTGGACAAGTGGCGCGCAGTGGCCGGCGCCTCCCCGTGCCTCCTGGCCTCACCTCAGCTGGGTAAGCAGAGGCAGGGCATGGGGGAAACATGTGCCCCAGGATCCGTGCAGGGCAGCAGGGGTCAGGGCTGTACCCAGCTGCACTCTGGGTGGGCAGTAGGGGCTACGACGAATTTTAGGGTGACTGCAGCCGCCCATAGCCCCTGCTCTGCTGCCTGCCCCATGCAGATCCGGGGCACACGCCTCCACCATGCTTTGCTGCTGCCCCTCCTTGCCCGGGCGGGGCGGGGCAAAGCCATAGTTCATCTAGAGGCTGGGGCGGCTCTGTCCAATTCGCGCTGCTTGTCTGTAGGCAGCACAGTGGCTCCATCCCGCCCAAGCTGGGCGAGTGGCAGGAAGGCATAACCGCCGCTCTCAGCGCCTTCCACCATCCACCCAGAGCATGGCCCTGCCCACCCTGCACAGATCCAGGGGCACACATCCATGCCCTTGCCAACCAGTGGTGCGCAGCGGCGAGAGCCACCCACCTCCTCCCTGTGCCCCCCTGCCCTGGCTGGGCAGCCCCAGCCCCAATCCCTCCCTTGCTGCGGGGGTGTTGATCTGCCGCCCCCCCCCCCAACTAGACTTAGCAGCTGAAGGTGGCTGTGTCAAGCATGGTAAAGGAACCAATCCCCCATTTATAATATTGTTCCTGTGGGAAAATTGGTTCCGAGTTACATTTCGATTCAAGACGCGGTTTTCAGGAACTAATTGCGTTGCAAGTCTGAGGACTGCCTGTATACCCTCAGCAAATTGGCAGATGACACCAAGCTGTGGGAAGTAGTAGGTACACTGGAAGGTAGCGCTAGGATTCAGTGACCTAGACAAATTGGAGGATTGGGCCAAAAAAAATCTTGTGTGGTTCAACAAGGACAAGTGCAAAGTCCTACACTTAGGATGGAACAACCCCATGCACGAGTACAGTCTGGGGGTTGACTGGCTGGGCAGCAGCTCTGCAGAAAAGGGCCTGGGGGTTACAGTGAACAATAAGCTGGATATGTGCCAACAGTGTGCCCTTGTTGCCAAGAAGGCTAATGGCTGCATTGGTAGGAGTGGTGCCAGCAGGTCAAGAGAAGTGATTATTCCCCTCTATTATGCACTAGTGAGGCCACATTTGGAGTACTGTGTCCAGTTTTGAGCCCCCTACTACAGAAAGGATGTGGAAACATTGGAGAGAGTCCAGGGGAGGGTGACAAAAATTGTGAGGGGGCTGGGGCACATGACTGATGGAGAGAGGCTGAGGGAACTGGGCTTATTTAGTCTGGAGAAGAGAAGCCTGAGAGGGGATTTAATAGCATCTTTCAACTACCTGAAGGGAGGCTTTAAAGAGGATGGAGCTAGACTGTTCTCAGTGGTGACAGATGACAGAACAAGGAGCAGTGGTCTCAAGTTGCAGAAAAGGAAGTTTAGGTTGGATATTAGGAAGAACTTTCTCACTAGGAGGGTAGTAAAACGCTGGAAGAGGTTACCCAGAGTGGTGGTGGAATCTCCATCCTTGGAGGTTTTTAAGGCCTGGCTAGACAGCTGTGGCTGGGATGAGGTAGTTGGGGATGGTCCTGGTTTGAGCAGGGGGTTGGTCTAGATGACCTCCTCAGATCCCTTCCAATCCTAATTTTCTATGATTCTATTAACTAGCTTTTACATGACATTGAGTTTTAGTACTAGTCAGTTTCATTGAGCTGAATTCTTAACTCTTATGGAAAACCTCAAATTTTGTCTTAATTTACTCCAATTTTTTCAACTTTTTTCAAAAAGAGAAACGAATACTGTTGACCTGTTGTTTTTCCTTATTGAAGCTAATTTTTCTTTTTGTTCATTGCAGCCCATTAACTTGAGCAAATGCACTCTCTCTCTTCATATTTTCCATCTGAATGAGGAAAAACCAAGCACTGAAAACCTAGAAGAAGAGAATGAGGATATTGTTGCAGCCAACCACTGGGTACTACCTGCAGGTACCTTCCTGGAATGGTTAAGGGGAAGTCCAGAATAACTGTAGTGTGTTGGAAAATCCAAGAATAGGCAGGTACCCTAGAAAGTTTTCTGGTATCCAGATAGCCAAATGGCTTTCTCTGTGGGCTGCTTGGTACAGATGAGATGTTGGTCTTTAGCTGGTGGAAGGAAACATTTTCATTGCAGCTGTCTTTTTTTTAGGGGTGAATTAGGGCAGATGACTTAGAGAGTGCTCCCAAAATCCTGAAACTCAAGAAGGTTGAGAGTGGTGACTAACAGGTTGGATACGCGTTATCTGAAGAAGCATTCCTTGTACACGAATGCTTCAGAGATGCAGGCAGTTGCTGTCTGTGTTAGGTCAGGGTCATCCAAACAGAAGGCCTTAGCCTAGAGCTGACCTTTGATGTGGGGGAAGGGGTCTGTGAGGTAAGGAAGGAAGTTTGGGGACCAATTGTGTGGACTGCTTGTGGGGTTGTATAGATACCCCTGCAGTGCAGGTTTCTGCTTCTGTACCCTCTTTCCTCCCCCACTCCTCTTTCTGAAATCCTGGATCTGCTTATGTTCCAGCACTCGTAGTGCTCCTCCAGCATTAGCTCCAACTCTGAGACAGCACTACAGGGCAGAGAGGATAAAATCCCTCGCTTCCCCTGTGGTTGCATTTTTGGACCAGTCCAACTATAAATGGCAAAGAGAGGCTTAGGGCTAGTTGCCATATGACTCCTGTGTAAACTCCTAAACCATAGTATGAAACTTGTGTTGTCAAAGTTCCACAGTTTTGTTAGTTTCTACATGAAACTATTTAAAGTTAAGGTTACAGTGTGAGATGACAGAATTAAGGTTGACTTGGAGCAAACCTCTTGCTCTGGCTCTTCAGCTGTGCTCCAGTCACCTTTGAGTGTGTATTTTTGCTCTGCACATTCAAAATCATGTACATGCATATTCTTGTCTTCCTAGTGTGCAGTGGATATATGATGCATTATAATGGTATAATGAAGTGCTTTTAAGAGTATATAAACAGCATGGAATATTTTAAGATTTATTGGAGAGTTGTAAAGTCAGGAATTAAACTTGCTCTCAGTAAAGTATGGGATGTGTATGTTTCTGATCTTTTGTAGAAAAGTAATTGGTCTAGACAGCACCAATCTGGTCTATTTGGGCACTCTTTAAAGCAAACATAGAATCCACAAACAAACATTAGGTGGGTTTAGGGGTCTCCAAAGTGTCTTTGTTTCAAAGGAATCAGGAATAAGACTTTCGTGGATAGGGGTCTTCCTCCTTGCTACTATCAGATGCCTCATGGTGGGAGGGTACATATTGGGCACTTCTAGGTAGAAATGAGTGGGTAAACGGTTCCATGAGGTTTTCTTGCTTTCATGAGAAGTTGTCAGCGTGCATTGCAGTTCAGGTTCCCCTTCTTGTGGAGACAGTTGATCTCTTTGGCATCAGTTGAATTTTTGTAAAATGCTATTTTAAGGTGGTTCTTCCTCATCCACCTTCTTAACTTTAATATCAACCTTTGTAAATCCACTCCTATGACTGAGGAAATGCTGAATTCAGTTTTTTGTCTGAAAGTTCTGAATATCCTCAACCTTTAAAATTTCCAACTAAAAATAGAATGTGCAGATTCAGACCAGCATCAGGTGTTTTTCACTTCTTATAATTCAACTGTTTTTCTGTCAGCGGTTGTTTGTGGTTTTTTACACGCTGATAACATTCATGTACATGAGTAGTCTGACAAAGTTGGACTTCCTATAATTTTTATAGTTGGCAAATTTTGACCCATTCTTGCAATTATTGTTTATAAACATTTTTTATATCCTGTTGAAGCTGTAGAATTGTTTGCTTCACTCCTGTAACTAAAAAAGTTTCATTTCAAGTGAATAAAATAATATATATATTCTTGCAATTGCTTGTTCTTGGTTCCATATCTTTAATTATGGTTGAGTTTTTTTGGGGAGTCACTCAGTATTGCAGACCATCAGATAATGATGGATGGCTCATTGGGCTTAAATGGCAATTTGTTTTTTTTTTATGAATTACTCTAAACAAAATCATGCATGATTGTTATAATATTGTTTTGCAGCTGAATTCCATGGTCTTTGGGAGAGCCTTGTGTATGACATAGAAGTAAAATCACATGTAAGTCAAGAGTGAATAATCTCTTTAAAATGGACTTCATATGTAGCTGGCCTGAAATAAGCTTCTCCCTCAGTTGCAGCAATCTTCAGAAATTAAAAATTTACATGGAAACTATGGAAATTTAATAAGGGGAAGTATGCTTTTTTTTTAATGATTCCCTTTATTATATTCTGAGTCAGTCGAGATGAAGACAAAATTTAGTCAAGTAAGACTCTTGTTCAATTTTTGGTTATAGTTTGCACAACAGAAATATTTGGCCTATTGAGTAAAAAAATTGGCCAAAATGGGCATATTAATTTTAAATACCTAAAAAGCAAGAGTTTTTCAACAGTACTGAGCACATTCAACTTGAATTGAATTCACTGAATGTGGAGGCATTCAGGACCCCTGAAAAATAGATTATTTATGCTGGGTGTCTAATTTCAGACACACAAGCATGAAAATTGACAAAATTAAAGGTTGTTAATATGTGTTCAGTTTGTGCCATCCTTTGTCTTGGAACAGAGAGGAAATGAGATTTCCTGAATACAGAAGAAAGTAATTTTGCTTAGGAATAAAAGATGGATGAGTCCTACACACAACTTTCCTTGTTCTGGACTACACCATGAAGGTCACTATTGCACTGCTTCCGTGTTTAGTTAGGGTTAGGAATAAAGATGTCTTTTGGAGATTTCAGAATTTTGATGGCTAGGTTTAATCTTATGTTATAAAATATCTTTAGTCTGTGACCTGAGGATCAGGGGAAACCGTATACTTCCAAGCATCCAGAGAATCTATGCTTACCACAGTGGTGAGTCTAGAGTCAGTGGAAACAAACTCTGAGACAGTGGGCCCTAGCCCATGTTGCCATCAAAATCTTCTGATATTGCTTTTGACTAAAGGAAACTAAATCTGCAGTTGATAAGGAGAGCAAAACCTAATGTTGCTTGCATCTAATATTATTTATGCACTATGGTTGCCTAAATGAAGTGGAGGTTGGGGATTAGTTCTTTTAAACACTTGTTTTTAAACAATATGATTTAGGTCATCTTAACCCAAATTTGAGAGATTTCAAAGTGCTACAGTCTCACTGACCTTTAGAAGTCAGCCAGTCTTTAGAATGTGCTGAGTTTGGAGAATGTCTGCGATATAGTTACTCTTGTAAGTATGAGAGAACCAAAACCATAGATTAAAAATACTTGACCCAAAAAGTTCCTCTGACATTTTATATTAAAAAAACAAACAACAACAACAAAAACTCAGTTGTGATTCCAGTATTTTATCCCTCTCCACACCCCTGCCATGGTGACTTTACTACATTTTTTTTATTACCTGTCCTAGTAAAATGTACTAACTGTTCTCTTATTTTCTCGTCTTGACCAGCTACTTGATTATGTGACGACAACCTTACTATTTTCTGACAGAAATGTAGACAGCAATCTGATATCCTGGAACAGAGTTGTCTTACTGCATGGTAAAGATTACAACTCTTAAAATAAAGTATTAGATTGTCAATGAGTTCATGCTCTTCTAAGTAGTCTGTACTGCATTTCCATGTAGTAGAACTTAGGTTCTTTTCCCACAGACCTGTGTCGGTGCTTTAGAGAGAATCCTACTATGGCAGGAAACACTTTGTCCTTCAACAAACTTTGTCCTTCTGGCTGATCAGGAAACATCATGTGCCTGGATATCTCTAGGAGTTTTCTCTAGTCCTGTTTGGCAGGAATACTGATTGGACTCCATGGATTGGAATTTCAAACCAACCAAGTAATATTAATGTGAAAAGTTGCATTGGTTAAAAGTTGTGTAAATGAAAGTGTTTAAATCCAATTCAATGGTAATCATATTAAACTTTTCAACTGTCAGTTGTTAATAATTGTGGCATACCCAGAGCAACAACATACCATAGTATTTGCATTATTCCTAGTAACATTAAGAAACCCCATATTTTAGCCACCATGTTGTTATGCTATTAAAATACATTAGCTTCCAATGCTTTGTGAGAATCTTTAGGAAAACTTTCATTTTGGAAATAATCTACTGTATTGTCCCTGTGCTTGCTTTCCTACTGCATGGCAGAAATACTACCATCTTTGAATTTACTTTCTTCTGCTTATTACCTAAGTGAATTCCAGACTATCAACTGGTTATTTTCAAAATTACTAAAATGTCCTTCACTGGTGTGTTATAAGCTGAATGACCTCTTACAAAGTGCTGGTCCAAAATGACCTTTTATGATTATTCCACTGCATAAAAAAAATCTTCATGCAAATGCATGGAGAATTATTCTCTGTCATGGTTTGTAGGTCTAAATGTTAACTTAACGAGAAGTACAAAATTACTTTGAAGTGAGAATTAGATCCCTTTTATCATTAAAGCATGTAAGTCAGAATCCGTTTGTTTGTGTTAAAGTGGGAATAGCGGGAATTTAAAATTCTATAATTTATGCGAGCGTAGAAAAAGAAAGTTTTTAAAAGTCAGAGATGCTAAAGTTGTTTAATGTGAACTTGCACACCATGACTACAATGCTGACTTTGTGATGGCTTGGAGGCACTGTTGTCTTAATTTGTCACAAGTATCTCCATTCGTTTTCTGCAAAATAGGGCAGGGTACAGGCATTTAAAATATTATGTTGTCTGCCTCTGTTCCACTAGTTTATGCCCAGTATGTACCAGCATAGTCACTGTCACTGCAGTTAAAGTAATGTAATGCTGATAGATTTTTAAGAAGACTTGCATTTGCAGACACCATGAGGGTGGAATACTGGTGGCTGCACGTCCATTCTGTGCATAGACCAAGTTTAAAGTCTGATGCTGGCAGTTGGTTACCATCACAGGTAAATGCTGGATCACTTGCATGGCTCAAGTCTAGTGTTCTCGAGAGAGAGCTCGAAATAGTCAGCCATGCAACACATTGTGTTCTTGACCCTTGCCAGCTATTATTTTATACTATGAATCCCTACTTCTGTTTTGAGATTGAGAAGCATTTAGTCAGTGTTTGCTTTTATGCAATTTTTTTGTATGTGGTTTGACTATAGGTCCTCCAGGAACTGGTAAAACCTCACTCTGTAAAGCCCTGGCTCAGAAGCTCACCATTAGGCTTTCATACAGGTAACTTTTGTTCAGTGTTTTGTTCACACTGTAAAATATCTCTAAGAAGACCGACTAATATTTGATATCAAGAGAACAGTTTCTCTTCCAGTGAGAGATTAGGTACCAAGTGTTGGGTTAACTTTTGTACATGATACTGAAGACATTGCACCCAATTCTTCAGTGTCCTTCAGTTTGTTTGATGGTTTATACCCAGTGGTATAAAAAGTTAACAGTTTGGAAGTGCATGTTAGACCATTTCTGAAAAGTTGTTCTCCTAAAATTTAAATTAAAAAACTTAACATTTAAATTTTCTAGTCTATGCATCTTGCCTTGCTCATCTTGCACATTGAATTAGACCAGGGGTTTTCAACCTTTTTTAACAAGTGTACCCCTTCTGTCTCTATTTCAGCTCATGTACCCCTTTTTAATTTTTTTTGAGGCCCCTGTGGTAAGGGAGGGAGTGGAGCTGGGGCAGGGTCAGCTGAACACTGCACAGCCGGGATGGAACATGGGATGGAGCCATGAGCAGCTCATCTAGGGGGCATGGGGAGGTGGGGGCGGCTCCCACCACTGCGCACACCCCAGGAGGTCATGGTGGGGTGTGTCCCTGAATCGGCAGGGTGGGCTGCCACTGTGGACTGGGGCCGGGGCTGTGCCAAGCCGTTCCTGGAGTGGGGCTGGACTCGGTTGTGCTGTGCTCTGGGCATGTGGCGGCAGCACTGGGATAGGGGCTACGGAAGGGGCTACAGCCACTCCAGAATTTGTCATAGTCACCCCAACCCCCCATCCCAGCTCTGCTGCCGCCTGCCTCAAGTGCAGCCCAGCCCAACATGCGTGCTGGAAGCAGCCTGGTGCTGCCCTGGCCCAAGCCTGCAGCGACAGCCTGCCCTCGCCCTGCACGCAGATTGGGGGACACACACTCTCCATGCCCTCCTCGGGGTGTGCATAGCAGCAGGAGCAACCTTCCCCCCCCCCCCCCCCCCCCCTCCCCCCACTGCTCATCCTGTGCCTCACTCCCAGCTGGGAAGCCCCTGCAACTGTCCCAGATCCACTCCTTCCCCAACTTCTGGGGCCTCGATCTGCCCCCGCATCCTCCCATGCCCCTTCCCTCACCAACAGACTTAGCAGCCAGACCCAGCTGCGCTCCTGGTCGCCTGCTGCTGTGCTGAGGTTGCACACACATGGCATTTATTGGCGACATCAGTTCTGTGTACCCCCTACAACCTTTTTAAGTACTCCTATGGTTACGCGTACCCCCAGTTGACAACTACTGAATTAAACCACAACAAAATTAAGTTAATATTCAGTTTAAGATTTGCAAATCTTTTTACTTAATGTATTTATTTTAAATGACATTACTGTACTGTAAGTCACTGCTCTTCAAAATAAAGTGCTTTGGGTTTTGCTCAAGTTAGATATCCGGTAGATGTGGGTTATACACTCTTTATGTAAAACATTAAGTTCTGTCTGCCCATCGATAACCATATATAATTTAGCATTAGTGACAGTGTCATCATAAGAACTGGTAAGTGAGCATGCAATGTATGCATAACTTTACAAAGCAAAGTGATTATCTGAAGGTTATGAGGTTACTGCATGACAGTCTATTATCTGAATTGTATGCTGCTAAAAACCAGCATCAAATCTTAAGTTTTTTTCCTGGCAAAAATCGTTCCTTTTTCATATGAATGATTTTAGAGTAGGAAGAATTCTGAAGTGGAGAAAACTGAGAATTAATAATTAAACAAGGGTATCCTGAAAAAATAACTGAGGCTTGAAAATGACAGCTTAAAATAGAGAAATACATAAATGAGATATTTTAGTAAATACAGAGCATTAATGTGGACAGAATGATGTTCCTGTTTTGAAAACCGCGGTATTCATTTTCAATATAAAATTTAGAGGCTGTATCTTGGAGAAATTGATTTGCTTTGCGTCAACAATTGTAATAAAATATTCCTGAGATGATGATTTTTTCCCTGATTTTTAGGTACAGGTATGGACAGTTAATTGAAATAAACAGTCACAGTCTCTTCTCCAAATGGTTTTCTGAGGTAGGTGTTTAACTCACTAAGCAATTTTAGCTTTTGGTAAAAATAAACAACAATTATGATCTCAACAGTGAATAAAAAGCAATTCTGAGAAACGTAAGTTATTTTAAGTATATTTATAATATGCATTTAATATTGTTTTTAAAAAAGGTTGCTAGCATTTGAAAACCTGTTAGCTTGGGTCACCGATGTTTATGAATACAATTAGACCTGTAAAGAATAAAACTTGGACAAGTATGTTTTAAAAAAAAAAAAAAATTATATGTAATTTTTTATTTATAGAGTGGCAAACTTGTAACCAAGATGTTTCAGAAGATTCAAGAGTTAATAGAAGACAAGGATGGCCTTGTATTTGTATTAATTGATGAGGTAGGATTTCATTGCCATTACTGTATACGATCCCTTTTGCTTAGGGAAATATAAATTCTTATAATTCACTTAAATTATTAGGAAAAAAAAGTAGAAGCAGGTTCTGTGGCAGCATCCATGTGTGCAAGCATTAGGGAGAGCACTTGAATTGCATAGCTACATCAGACTAAGAGAGAAATAGTTTGATATTTCAAACAAAATATCCTGCTGGAGGTGGAAGAAAAATTTGGAGTTTGTCTTTCTGTGTTGGCCCTCCTATTTGGTTGCTGCTTTCTACCTTTTATGCATACAGCTGGGTGATCAGTTTCAACATCCAAGCTCTCTAGCTTTGCTGTTAGTAAGGGAAGAATTTTGTAATCATACTCATGGAAGAAATGTATTTAATTTGATTGTTTCTTAAATCCATTTTTAGTTCACTTTGTTTTGCAGGTGGAAAGTCTCACAGCAGCCCGGAGTGCTTTCCGGGCAGGCACAGAGCCGTCAGATGCCATCCGTGTAGTGAATGCTGTACTCACACAGATAGATCAGATTAAAAGGTAAGAACCTTCACAACAGTCCTATTATTACTACAAGAAAACATAACTAGGGATTGCCAAGTAGGAAATAATGTTGGTGTATGGAAACGTGTGCTAACTTGCTGGATTTCAATATCTGGGGCTCTTTATTCCTGTTTAGAACACTAGTGCTCAAAGTACAGCCTGGATCCAGCTTCGAAGCCTTAGGCACCAGATTGGGGTGGTGGGCAGGGCCAGTCCATGGCCAGATCCAGCATGCAGGCTTGGACCTGGCTCATGGCCCTGGACCTGGCCTATTCAGTTGTCTGCACGCCACTCAGTTGGCCCTCATGCCCAAGAGGCTGAGCACCACTAGTTAGAACATTTATCAAAAAAAATCAAGTAGTCAAATTATGCTGAATTTTAAATTTGGTGTTTGCCAATTGAAAGTAGAAGCAAGAGTAAATTGAAAATAGATTTCATTTGAAATTAACAGAAATGCAGAACATCTTGATAATTCATGTCCAGGATTGTATTTCACTTTGGGTTAAATAAAGCATCTATACAGTATTTTAAAACAAAATTCTGAAGTTTTTTTTTTTTTTTTTTTTTTTTTTTTTTACTGAAAAGAATAAGTCGGTGTTAATGTACATCTTTTAAAAGTTAAAGAGCAATTTTTGTATTACTAGTTTTATAAACCATGTTAATGCTTACCTTCTACCACATCTTTAATCTATTTATGATCTCAGAGTATATTCTTAAGTGACTTGGCGCCTGGACGTGTGACCCATTTAGACCATTATAAGCAGTTTTTCCATTGGTTTAAACAAGGAGGGGACACGTGGGGCCAGATTCTGTTCTACCTATTGGGTATTTAAGTGAACTTACATGCCTAAGTATGACTTTACCCTGTTAAAGTCCTGAAAATCCAGTAATGCATCTGCTTTTGTAAAACACTGTCATCTAACCCATATGACTGAGTCATAAAAAAGCAGAGAGGAGAAGAAGAACCTACCTTTTGCATTAGGGAGTTGCGCTGGGTGGAATGGAATTACACTTAAGCACCCAAGTCCATTTACCCATGTAATAGATGGAATAGAATCTACTGGTGCTGGTATTTGCACACCTTGGCGGCATATAGCGCATTAATTCCAGCCGCTGTAGGAAATTTGGCAGTGTAATGTGCCTTAAATGACTTGGGGTGCAGCAAACTAAAACTCCTTCGAGGAGTTTTAGTTTGCCGCCCCTACAGCCATGGAGTGCAGCACTGGGCTCAAGTGCAGCTCCATGGCTCTGCAGAAAGCCTTGCAGGCAGCTTGGCAGCAGCCCAGAAAAGCAGGCTGTGCCCAAGAAAAGCAGCAAGCCTGATCTTCCCTTCCTAGAGCCTGGCTGAGCTGCAGGAAGACCTGATGCTTCCCTCTGCAGCTGCGGTGCCCTCAGGGACCACCTGAGCCAGGTGCCGCCTGGTGTGGGGTGCAGCTGCTGCGGAGGGAAACACCAGCGGCCTTCCCACTGCCCTGGGAAGGCTCCGCCTGCTGGCAGCTTGCCCTCCCCTCCCCACCAAAGAGGCAGGTAAGTCAGCGGGGTGTTTGCACAACACGGGTTTAATCAGGCCTAAATTGAAGCAGTGTTTTTTAAAACCCAGCACTTTAATTTAGGGCCCCTGCTTCGTCTACACATGCCCTAAGTGTCTTTGTTTCACAGGTCCTTTTCCATTCTTTAGAGGTTGACTTTCCTAAACTTTTTAATGTCCAGCTGTCTTCCTATTGCATCTCGATTCTCCTGCATAGGTGGCTGAGCTGCTTGTCAGACCGTTTACCTCTAAAGGGGTTGCATTAAGCTTCTGATGCTCCTACATGACCAAAAAGTAATAAATAATAGCCTGGCTGCCCTGTATAAGTGCCATCTGTGTTGTGCTACAGGCCTGATACATGAGAGTAGCCATTTTCCTTAGCCCTCAAATTGCAAGAAGAAATTTAACTTAAAACCTACTCTAAGACATCTTTGTAGGAAAACACTTGGGGGTGGTGGGGAAGAGGGGAAGGAAGAAAAACTAGAATGGTATATTTCATTGACTTGTATATTTAATACCACAAGCTGCTAAAATACTTCTCTTGGTGAATTGGGTCATTACCATTAAATCGAAAAGAAATGACAGACAAATTGTTGAAATTTATAAAAGCTTTCTCATTTTTTTTATTTTTAAAAATGAACTTGACCTTTAAATATAAACGAAGTTTAATTTGATGTCACTGAAAAGTAAAGTTTTGTCTTCCATAACAACCTGGCAACTTCAACTTAGGCCAAATATACTGAAACAGCCTTGAGAAGAAACCTATCAGTTGCTAGTCTCCTGAGGGGATGATTTGTATGCATATAACAGAAATAAAGTCCAGTATTTTTGTATCTTAAAGGTATCCCAATGTTGTTATCTTGACTACTTCAAATATTACAGAGAAAATTGATATGGCATTTGTGGACAGGGCTGATATAAAGCAATACATTGGACCTCCATCTGCAACAGCAATATTCAAAATATATGTTTCTTGTTTGGAAGAATTGATGAAGGTAACATTTTGTAAATCAGATTCTTAGCTTAGATGCCTTTTTAATAATAATCTATGATAGCATTAAGTACAGAATCTCAAATGCTAGAGAAGTGTACAAGTCATGTCTTATTTCTCCTTCTTGACCTAACCCTGCTAAGCCAGAGTGTTTAAGTAGTACACAGAGAGGGAGGGACATGTATCAAATTAAGTCACAGCTTTGGCGTTATGCATGTTTATTCTTCCATAATCATTTATCAAAGTGATGCACTCTGCTAGCCAACTTGGTTTCCAACTCAACCCATCTCACCATTTTTATGCCTATATTTTTGCTGAAAGCAGGTGCAGATGGGTTATTCACAGTACTAAGAAAAGGGGAATTCAAAACATACTAAAGGGTCATCACTCAGGTCAACAGTTATTCTAGATACAGACAAGGAGTGGGTCTGTTAAGTAAAAACTTGGCATTTTTACATCATCTGTCTTCAGAGAACAACAGGAGTTTGTATATACCTTGTTGCTTACAGATACAATTTTTCTTTTAGTGTCAGATAATATATCCTCGACAGCAGCTGCTGACACTGAGAGAGCTGGAGATGATTGGTTATATAGAAAATAATGTGTCAAAACTAAGTCTTGTATTAAAAGAAATTGCAAGGTAAGATTTGTGCATTCACCCCTTCTATTTTACTTGTTTAGCTCTTATGTGAAAAAAGGGTAACTTTGCAATGGCATTGCTGATGAATTCACAGAATTATGTATAAAAGCGTTGAATGTAATAGCCACAGCTAGTCTTCTGAAATATTCCAAATTTTTGACAGGCTTTTCCCCCCCGTGAGAGTGCCTCTTAGATCTACCAGGAAGCTAGCTTTTAGAAGCACTAATTCGGGAATGAGTTGAAGTGAGGGAAGCAAGAATTGTTTTAAGACTGCTTCCATTTTTATTTATTTATTTATTTATTTTTTTACTGAAAGCACTAATGGGACAACTAGCTTTTCCCAAAAATGAAAACAAACGTGTGGTATAATAAATAGATTATTCCATGTGTTCATACCAAGCAAGAACTTTTTTTTTTCAAAATGTGGAGGTCCTTACCAGAATTCTAGTCATAGAACAAAATTATCAGAGTAGTAAAATACATACAGTATTGATCAGAACAATCTGGCCAATAGTAGAGACAGTTTCTAGATTATTTTCTACCCTGCGTACCTTGATCAGAGGGCTATGCACCCTGCCCACCAAGTCCTTAGTTTCTGTTGAGAGTTCCAGCAAGGGTGCTGAGTGAAGCCAAGTGATAGTAATGTGTGTTTTTCTGCAGAGAAATCTCTCTCATCACTACAGAAAGAAAACCCTTGATTTCAGGAATGGTGCTTTAGTAAAATAATAGTATTTGCATGCATCTCATTGTAGAAAAAGTGAAGGTCTTAGTGGCCGGGTCTTGAGGAAGCTTCCTTTCTTAGCACATGCACTTTACATACAGGTAAGTTTTATTCTGGTTTCCTTTTTAAGTTTGGAAGCTGCTTGTACAGCATTTTGGGGTTAGAAGGGATGTGCCTACAAAAGTCTGTATTAATTTGAATGACACTGGATCTGCTTCTAGTTGGATTGGAACCATTTTGTGCTACCTCATTTAAAGAGGCTAGAGAGAGAACCAACTTGTGTATTATGTTGTTACTAACACAGGATTGAGCTGTGCAAAAAAATGATATGCCATGATAAAACATCAGTTTTACTTTAATCATTAGCTTCCTTCATTGCTCTGTAGGTTTCAGTGGGGTGTATAACATTCAGGATGTTTGTTAGTTTTGGGTGAATCTACAGTTAAAGTGATTAACCCTTGGATATTTGCATGGCTTGGCTTATTGTACATCCTTAATGCCATTATACATCCTTCAGAATTTTAGAAATACTGATGTGTGTAGTACAAAGTTTTGCTCTCCCCCCAGATGCTTTGAATTATTTGTAAACTACCATGTTGCTGTTTTGGACATGTCTGACAAGACTTCTATTCTTTTGTTTTCAGTCTCCAACTGTTACAGTGGCAGCCTTTCTTCAGGCTCTTTCACTTGCAGTGGATAAACAATTTGAAGAAAGAAACATACTTGCAAGCTGCGTTTGACTTTTTGTACTGTTCTATAATTGTCTTGTGTTTTCCTTGTTACCATGGAAAACTGTTCTGCACTATCCATGCACCAGTTATTCCATCTGTAAAGTGTAACTCAATTTGGATTAAGACACCCCAATTTCAAGATGTTGGTTTATAAACAGAACTGTGGATAATGTTTACAGTACACTCTTTTTAAAAGAAGACTTATTTCAAATTCCAGTCCTAGACATGATTCAAAATTTAATTCCTAGAATGAGATTTTTTTTAAATTCCTTTTCACAACTATTAAAAGTTTCCCTAAATTATGTTCCTTGTTTCTAACCATTTTACCTATTTGTATTCAGTCTTTATCCATTTTTGGAAGGGGGGGAGGGTTGGTTTTTCTTTTCTTTTGTTTAACATGTATCAAACCTAGAGATCTGATAGTTTATGTAATGCAAAAAAGGAGTTCTTGTTCTAACTCTAAAAAAATAGCAGG